AGGGAAAACAACCCTCCCTGCTCCCCATTTCGCTGGGAACCGCTGCCTCGGGTAATTCCAGAAGGCTGTGAGATCCCTCCAAATCACGGAGCGGCGCAGGGCGCCAGCTTCTCCGCAACATTTTCCATCGGTAGCACACCGTGGCCCCACCGCTCCGCGTTTTAAACGAGTTCCTTCGGACCAAACATATAACCCTTATTATCTCCAGCATGTCCTGTTTAAGCACAGTTTAGCGGTCGCTACAGAAATGAGAGCAAAAACAAAGGCGCGGGTAGGATCGATACACGCGTTAATAGCTTCGCTCCTATCTTATCTTCCTGCCATTTTGCAAAGTGAGAAGGCTTAACATTAAACCTCTTAAAGCAGGTTATTATATAATAAACAAGGGCGAAACATTTTGCTACCTGACGCTCGGAGGAGGCAGCATCAGCGGCTGCTGTGGGGGTAACACGCGTGTTTACCTGCCGCGGCAGAACCCGAGATATTCAGACACAAATGTGGCCGATAATTCAAGATGAAATACAACGTGTATTACTCTTGAAAAGAGGAATTTTCTATCCTTTCCTCGGTAATTGAGGTCATTCAGCCAGTAGGGTTCACCTGGAGTCCATACTGTGATACACACGTAACTCAAAGCTATTTTATCTTTTGTGCTGATAGTCAAGATCTCGGCTATAACATTGACATCAAACTCTGTCTGGGCGAATGACTAAGAGTGGTGCAAAACGTAAACTTTTGACCCTCAACTTTTTGACCTGCAGTTGTAACGCCCTTAACCACAAAGATATACAAAAGCTATGCAGCTTCTTTTAGGAGTAAGAGACTCGCACTGTTTGTTTCAATAGTTCTGCCGTTTCCCCCAGCTTTCTAAGGGCTTTTTTTTTTCCTTTTTCCTTCTTCTTGCTGTTGAGAAATCGGATACTTTTGCATTTTTAATTATTGCGCTTTTTTTTTTTTTTCCATTTTCTTTAATCTCGCAGCTTTGTAAAGTGCTGTTAAATCAGTTTGCACAGCCTTTCGGCAGCGTTGGAGGGAAGCCTCTTACTCAAAGGCGCTATATGGTTACAATTGCAGGTGAAATGCTGGGTAAGTTCTGGGCGTGAGGTTGGAAGGAATGTAGCGACGAGCGTTGGGGGAAAAGCTGCAGCTCTCTGCTGCGAGGGTCTTAGTCATTTCTCCTTGATTTAAACATAAAGAAACAACTCTAATTGTTTGCGAAGCCTTGTCTAGGCAAACGAGTTGACTGTGAACTTGGTCTAAAGCGAGCTCTGCTGGTGATTCCTAGGGTGTGCAGATTTATCTTTTCTGCATTTACTTAACCTGGCAGTGAACTGCACGGGCTGCCATTTGTTATCCAGAGACAGACTTCACCTCAAGCAAGGACTGTTCCACAAAATTGCAATAATTACCCAATAACCTTCATAGCAAATATTATTATTGAAAAGACATTTTTTTGGGGAGGGGATATAGGAAAGATTCCTTATGCGTGCTATAAGGCGAAATCCTTGCAAATTTTACACGCTTTCTATCTCAGATTTGATATTGTTTGTGCGTGTAGCTACAGGAACATGTGACTGCGATGGTCCATGAGCATTTGCCTTCCAGAGAGACATTAGTGAGGATGCTTTAATTTGAAAGGGATAATATTTTCAAAGATGACCAGGCGACTGTGGGAGCTGTATTTTTGCGCTCTGGCTAGCAACTCTGTCAAAAAATGGGGGAATTTTAAGGGCAGATAAGAGAATGAGCTAAGAAAGCAAAGCAATGTCTTAAGTTGGTCAGGAGATTTACTTATGTCTGCGTTTAATGCGTTAAATCTGTATTTGCGGGGAGGGAAAAGGCATTGCTCGAGTATCCAGGGTTTGAAATCGAAACCTCCTGATCCGCCCCTCATGATCTGTTCCATTCAATTTCCCATGGAGCAGATTGCAAACCTCTCTATTGTCACCCTTCCACAGATACACACTTATTAAATGTAAGGAAATGGCAGAATAATAATTTCCCCGTAATGTTCTGCAATTAGGGCGTTTGCAGGGCTTAGACAAGGCTGCAGAGCTGTAATTTACGGATGACTTTCCATCGGATTGTTATACTTCTGGTTTAGAGAAAGTTATGCCTTGCACAGTCACTAGTTACACACATTAAGAGAGTTGCCTAATCTTTAATTGGCCTTACGCTTAGACATGACACACTACACTCAAGTATTTCTTTCAAAGGATTAGGTAAACTATATTTCAAATCGCAGAACGCCACTTGCCATGCCTAAAGTAAAACAAACTCGCACGCATTAATCCCCCAAACACAGCAGAAAAATAATGTGCGCAGATAAGACCTCTCTCCCGGTTCCCAGCGATTTTTCCCTCGGAAAACAATTAGGACCTAAGAATATTTTGGTAGAGTTCGGCAGTTTGGAGTTGTTTGAATTTCAAATTTCAAAGCGGATTAGAAAATCTTAATGCGTTTCTGGATTTGAATGGTTTCAACTGTCCTGCTTAGGACAGGGCAGGGCCAGAAATATAGAGAAGTTGTCATTTCTATCTAACTTTCTTTTGTTGTTAAAGAGTTTCTTGCAGTACGGGCGGGTTTATATGCTTGGGAGGTTGGGGATATTTTTCTTTTCCGTAGTTCTTGAATCTCTGTACACTGCTTTACGTGGAATATGCTCCAGAAACCACATTCAGAAATGTGAAAATATGTAGTAGCGAATCTTTTCACTCTAGAGAATTAAAATTTACAATCCGCGATGATATCCAGGTTTCTAAAATATTAGTTGAAAGGGTGTGACTGTTTGTTTGTGTATTCACCAGATAATTCAGATAACGCATTGTCGTTGAATATTGAGTAATCGCGAACGGTTTGTGTTTAGTATGATTCCCGTTTACAAGCGAAGGATTTTCCTTGGAAAAGGACTCGAACATAAATGAAGCCCAAACTTTGAAAGGGTTTTCATGCCTTTCCCTCAAACTATAAAATTTTATGGCGTATAATATAATATAATACACGCCTATCATACATAACTTTCTGGTATTCCTATTGATGAAAATGTGACAGCTAGTGCACTATAAAATCTCCAGCTGTTTATTACGGAAATTATTTTCAAATGTGCGTTTGGATATGCACTTTTAAAGCCTTTCCCCTTTTTTTTTTTTTATATAAAGTATATGCATATGTGTTTGTTTAGTGTTCATAGGAAGATACACAGACACAAAGGCTTCGGGCTCCATTTATCTTACACAGGGGGTTGACCCTAAATATTAAATATTTGTAAAACTCTGAGATCTTTGAGCTGAGCCAACCTTGTATATTACCGTTTCTTTAACGTTAAAGGCAAATCAATTAAAAATAGGAATCAGTCGGCAATGTGCGGACCTTGCAGAGGTACACAGCAACCTTGCCCTCCTGTACCCCTGTGCCTTTCTCTCACTTTTTGCTCGCAGTAGCAGATACAGCCTAAACCGCGATATTCAAACGGGATAGCACTGGCGAAATAAAACAAAGCCCATCTCCCAGCTCGCATCAAACCACCTCGTTCTTTTGCAAACCCGAATTTATGACACATGGAGGAAAACAATGCAATCTACTGAATCCCTGCTACTTCAAACCTGAGCAGAGAAAGAGATACTCACAGCTGGTTTGGATATATATATATGTATGTATATATATTTTGGAGGCAATTCCCAAATCTCTTGCCCAGCCCCCGACTAGTTGGTCTGCACCCCCCACCCCACCCCCAGATCACTCGCCTAAATAACAGCTCTGAGGATAAGGATCAGGCCTTAATGCTACCCAGAGAAAGACAGAGTTCCTTTCATTCAAGTCCTGGAAATTCAAAGACTAAAGTTAAATCCGGCCATAAAGTTTATTGCTGAGTAATCACACTCTAGTGAGAACAGTCCACTTAAATAAAAAGAATGTTGAAGTAAACACGCAGCTGGGGCCTACCCCACAATGGCAGCCAGCAATATAAGGCAGAGAGGGAGAGCGCAGAGCTGGGGGGATATTTACAATCTTCAATAAACCAAGCCCGTATTTCATAATTTGCAGCACTCTAATGACCTGTAGTCTCTTGTATTAATGCTACAAGTTACAGTCAATTGATTCGCTTAAAAAAAAAAAAAAAAGGCACAGGAACGTATATATGTATACATGCGTACACACCCTTTGTATACATAAACACACCGATATTCAACACACATATGCACATACGCATGTGCACGGTTTTATATAGGCGTATACATTCATTTGTACATACATGCACACAAATACATAACTTTAATATATTTATATTTATGAAATTACATATAGGATTCGGAAAAAGTTACAGCAATGTTATAAATGCACATCCCCAAAAGACACTACGCGCTCGCAGATGGACATATATACATAGCTAAAGCTTTCTGCACGACCCAATGCAGAAAATAGGAATCTTAAGCGCTCCAGTACAGTCCGTGCCATTTTAATACCAGCTCTGATGTGCAACATATTTCACCAATCCTAAGATTATTACCATATCAGCACGCCTCCAACTCTATCATGCCTACATAAGACACTGCCCAGATAATATCAAGCCCTATCTATTTTGTTTTCCCTTTTTCTTAATCGCCTGCAGTAACTACTCTTTGCTAAACAAAACCTCTCCAAACTTGGAGAGTCTATTGGAGCAAAGGAAGTAATTATCTTCTGCGGTAGTCAAAGTGATTAAAGCTAGGCCCCAAAATCCATCTCTGCCAAAGTCGCTTATTGTGGTTTACTTTGATTTGATCACTAAAATAGCGAACTAGCTGCTGCGAGTGAAGGGATGGGGGGGGGGGATTTGCAGCGCAACCTGGATCATTAGTGGTTGATCCTGCCTCTCGGGCTCGGTGGGACCGTCCTGAAAGGCTCCAGGCGGAGAGGA